GCTCCAGGTTCCGAGCCATCAGCCCAGAGCCTGACGCGGGGCTCGAACTCACGGACCGCGAGATCGTGACCTGGCTGAAGTCGGACGCCTAACCGACTGCGCCACCCAGGCACCCCAAGGTTCTGGATATATTTTTAAGGAAAAGCTGTAAGATTTGCTGAAAGATTGAATGTGATGTATGAGGGAAAAAAAATCATGACTAAAATTTTTAGGCCTGAACAACTGGAAAAAGCTTGTTTTTGAGCATAAGTTTGAGTTATATGTTAGATATCCAAGTAGACCTGTTAAGTCAGAAGTTGGATAGAAGACTCAGGAAGGAGCTCAGGGTAAGTGAAGGATGGTCATCTTCACAGAGGAGGAGGTGATGGATCCAGGATCCAGTGGCAGGACAACCCTTGATTTGGGGGGAGGGGGCATCTTCCACCACAATGGGAATGATGGCTACAGATGCATTTGGTTGGAGGGGCAGGGGCGAGGCACAGAAAGATGAGAGTTTGCACCTACTAGCTTCTGTGAGGTAGAAAGCAACACATCTGGAGAGAGCTTGTGAGGGTACGGGAGGCCATAGGATGTGGCAAGAAAGGAGGCCTGGAGTAGGGTCCTTGAGGAGAAAGGCAAATATTTAGAATGGCCAGTTTGGGAAGTCACAGAGGGAGGTGACATAGATCAGCAGGAGGACTCTGTGCCTGTTTTACTTTATTACCATGGCAGGGCCTGGAATCGTTTCTCTTGTTGGCATATCCCATGGCAGGATGAAATGCAGAAAAGAGAAACCACACAGACTATCCATAAAAACTAGTAGTTAACCTGGAACAAAATGAAAACAAGAGCAAGAACCGATGAAAATATCTACAGTGAACATCCTTTAAGAAGTGCACCCATAGCAAGTTCAGAAGGGACAAGTGAGTTCAAGCACGACTGGAGCGCCTGTTCCTGTGTCATGGTCAGAATCCTGTTCCTGGAGCACAGCCCTGTTGCATCTTTCTGCTGTGCTGTAGCTCTTGGAACTCCCCACCTAGCACCCCACCCAGCATCACCGCGTATCAGATACTGACCTAACCTGGTCCCTTCACACACAGGCCTGTTTCATTCTCATAGTCTTTAGAAGAAAACAGACCCCAGTTATCTAGATATGGGAAGTATAGTCTGAGAAGTCAAGGCTCTAAACAATGTGAAATGCCTCAAAGGAAGATTGTGTCAGAATATGAAGGTTACCAGTCTCAGAATTCGTAGGAGGTGGACCATTTGATTCAACAACATCCCCAAGTACCCACAATATGTCAGGCATTGTGTAGAGTGCTAGACACTGAAAGAGAAAT